TCCTACAGTGGTGAACTTTCATAGATATGGCTGTGGAAAGATGGCCCTTCCTTGCATATTTGACAATATCTTAAAATATCTAGAGCATTTGCTACAAAATCATTGCACATATATCTTACATAACAGACAAGTCTGAAAGACATTTTCAAATATTTAAATATATAACTTTGAGCAGTTTATTCCACATTATAAAATTTATAACCTCAAATACATGGAAGATAAAAGCATATTCACACCTTTTACTCCATGCATATGCTTATTATTTTTGTATTTAACTTTAAACATTTTACCAATTTGAACATGGATGATAGAAATGTATGACTGGTGTGATTACTTGTGATTCTTGCGTGGAGGAAAGTGAGAGAGAGAAGAGCCTGTTTCAAAAAAATATAAATAATAAAAAAATAAATAAATAAATAAAAAATAATCTGGTAGTCTTATTAACATGCACAAAGAAAAGAGAAAAAATGCTTCTCAATCAGCCTATCCAACCTCAGTTAGTAGTTCCTCCGAATTTTATTTAAGCTCCCAATGCACCACTTGTCACCCACAGCTCGAGCTATGTAATTTCTACCACCTAAAATAAATGTCCTCAATTAAACTGTAAGCAAAATGAAATTACTTCATAGCTGAATACCCTGGCAAAAATTAAAAGGTGGAAAGACACTACACCAAAATTGTGGTGAAGATTCGTCCATATTCAAAATTCATTCTTCCCCGAAATGCAACAAACATGACCTAAGAACACAGTCAGCATTTGCAACCTGTCATAAGAACAACTACAAATGGCAAAACAACAGTGGCAGAAGAATTAGTCCATAACACCAGACTATGCTGGAACAACACTTTTCTATGTCACTAAACACTAAGACTGAAGGTTGAATAAAGCAATTAAATTAATCAATATTGTCAGAAATCAGAAAAAAAGGATCTCTAAATTGGCATAAAAACCCTTATTCCAAAATTGATCAAATTAATTACGTACATTACTATAAATTAGGTACTTGATTGGGATCACATTCACACATAAAAAAAAAAAAAAAAAAAAAATCGAACTAAAAGGAAAAAAGCAATAATCATCTGGACTCTTAATTTGTACTATAATTCACAGCAAAGAATAAATAAGCAAAAAGCAAATAAAAAAGGGCAATTAAATAGAGAAAAAAAAACTAAATAAAAAGAGATATAACACCTATGACAATAAATATAGTAAAGCAAAAAGTAGAAATGGCACACACAAAAAGTGTACTCATAGACAAAGTGTACCTTTAGACGTACAGCTATATTAACACAACTATTGCTGTAACTGTGAGAGTAGAAGGTGACAATTAGACGAAGGAAGGTGAATAACATCTAATGTAACTTTGAATGCTGATGGTGCTGCTGATAACATGAGGAAAAATGAAAGAAAGATTTGTAAAGCTTAAGAAGAAAAAGAACATGAAAAAGTAAATACAGTTACTCATATTTCTAATCATAGCCACAAAAGAAAGACAAAACAAGGAAAGTATGATAATGGTTATGGTAAATAAATAAAATTACAGTAGGTATATGAACAACAAAAAAGCTACAACTATTAACTGTAATAGTACTAATAAAAGAAGAATTACATAAAAAAAACATTGGCAATGGTGTAACTGTATAAATAACAATACTACTATTCATAAAAAAAAAGTAGAATAATAATAATAACTATTACTATTATGATAAAAACCATCAAAAATTATAATGTCAACTAATATCACGATAAATAATAAAATCCGATCAATACTCAAATGTCAAACAAAACAAATATGTGGACGTGAAAAGACTAATCAAATAAAAAGAAAGAAAGAAGGAAAAGATACCAGTACAAATTCAAGGTCTAAACAAGAACTGTGCCAATCATACAAGTGATAACAAGATAAGAAATCTGCAGAATCCAACAAGGCTGAGAGAGTGTCATCCCAGGGAACATCACCTGCCTGCAAGTCAAGTCCCTAAAGCTAGCGGTGAAAATATATGGCAACGATAAGAAGATAGTAGAATGCTTAAATATTTTATATGGATACACATAAAAAGGCAAATTCACAATGAATGAGTTGAAATATCTATCTTAGAGATCACAGATTCTTCTATGATCAGTCATAATGGACAAAACACCTACAACTATTACAAGTTCAACAACCTTTACTAATGGTATGAGTATGTATTAGTGGATGCCAATATCTGGATGTCACCCCTTGATAATGAATGAAGAAATATACATGGCAAGCTAAACTGAAGGCATAAATGTACAGAGTTGGAAAGACCTATATACAAGACAAATCAGCTGATTAGTGAAACCATAAAAAAACTGATCAGTATGAACTATTATTCTCAGTGAGAATAGTTAAACTCTGATGATAATTATAATGGTAATGAAAAGATTGGCACAGGACCTTTCACCTTATCAAGTGTTTTGAATACAGGTGTGTGAAAGGGAAATACAATGGTGAGGGAAAAGGAGACAACAGGAGGAGGAAAAGGGAAAGAAGTGGAGGGGGAGACAGGTGTAGAAGAATACTGGGTCTGCAAAGGAAGTGGAGGAAGACCATCATAAAAACAGAGAAAGAGGAAAAAGAAAAGACAAAAAAAGGGGGAGGAGGAGGAGGAGGAGGAGGAGGAGGAAGAAGAATTATGACGGAGGGAGTGAGTGGGAAACAGACATGATGTGTAGATTATGCTTTGATATTTCTGTATACATGACCTTGAATGTAATCATAGCACCTTTGTAGATACATCAATGTTAATGAAAGAATCAGTTGGTGGATGTAGATGATTAACAATATAACTTCAAAAATTTTAAGATAATCATGGCAATATAAAACCAAATACATAGATATAAAAATGTCAAATTCCTTTGGGATTTTAAGTAGGAAAAAAATAATGATGATATAAACAACAAAATATACACTACAGAATATATCCAACAGAAGCCAATTAATTTAATATTTTATAATTCTTTCCAAATCATAGGGAAAAAAACTAAATTTTGAAGATAAATTGATCTCATTAACTTTTAACCAAAAAATCTGACTGATTTTGGGACAGTAGTTAATCTGTCTGGGAATTATATATGATATGAAGCATATTTCTTTTGAAAAATTTAAAAGGGTAGTTAGGATTTAACAAATGCTACACAAGTTTTGTGATTAATCTTGAATTCACTTTCATATGAAAAGATGAGCATTATATCACAACTTCTCTCTTATGCTTTCAATTGATTTCCCTGGGCTTTTCAATCACTCTACGTCTTGTGAATCGTCAGCAGCATTTAAGCTATGTATGTCACTATCATGTATTCTGACTTAGGATTGTCAACAAATGGCTGGTGTGGTATTTAGATACAAGAAAAAACAATATTCATTATCTTCCATTTTCTCCAGATTTCCTAACAGTCTGCAATGTTGCACAAATCTAACTGCTCCACCAACAAGAGATCTGATCATCCAATGTGAACACAATATTTTTTAACTCTGTCCAAGAGCAACTCCTTCACAATATATTTTAAGACACAAATTTTACATTATGGGGGGGCAATAGGACTATACTTCACACACTCCAGTTTTATTGCAAGGAATATTTCTTGCCTGGTAATTTTCTCTCCTTAGAGTGGATGGCAATGCTTCTGCACAAAATTATTCATTACATCCATTGCAGCATAGACTTGTATGATTTTTTTGTCATCTTTCAAATCTTTATGTATCATTATGCAATGCAAACTTCTCTTAAAGATTGGTTGTATAAACATGGATAAAACCATTCATTCTGTTTCTTTGAAAGTTACACCAATAAACTAAGTCTTTCATTTTACAGTACATATCCAAGTGAAGTGCCCTAATACCCTACACTCCCTTCGAAAATAAAATATCAAGTTGGTATATTTACAAGTAAGTGTATACATTATACAACTAATACCAGCTGATCATTGCTTGTCCCCTAACAATGACACAGATGTGATTTACTTCTACTGCATTTTCCATAAGCAAGTTATATTCCCACTATGATAAAACCACAAATGTATTTATCACTTGAACCAATCACTAATCTCAAAAGCTAGTAATAAGTTTATAATTATCATGTGTCAGGATGAAACCTATAGTGATTAGTAGAATGAGAACAAGGAGAAAGAAGAGGAGGAGGAGGAGGAGGAGGAGGAGGAGGAGGAGGAGGAGGAGGAAAAGGATGATGAGGAAAAGGAATGGGAAGAGGAAGAGGAGGAAAAGGATGATGAGAAAAAGGAAGAGGAAGAGGAGGAAAAGGATGATGAGGAAAAGGAAGAGAAGCGGAGGAAAAGGAATGGGAAGAGGAAGAGGAGGAAAAGGAAGAGGAAGAGGAGGAAAAGGAAAAGGAAAAAGAAAAGGAAGAGGAGAGGAGGAAGAGGAGGAAAAGGAAGAGGAAGAGGAGGAGGAGGAGGAGGTGGTGGTGGAGGAAGAGGAGGAGGAAGAGGAGGAAGAGGAAAAGGAAGAGGAAGAGGAAGAGGAGGAGCATGAGGAGGAGGAGCAGGAGGAGGAGGAGGAGGAGGAGGAGGAGGAGGAGGAAACCTATAATGATTAGTAGAATGAGAATGAGGAGAAGGAGGAGGAGGAGGAGGAGGAGGAAGAGGAGGAGGAGGAGGAGGAGGAGGAGGAGGAGGAGGAGGAGGAGGAGGAGGAGGAGGAGGAAGAGGAGGAGGAGGCGGAAGAGGAGGAGGAGGCGGAAGAGGAGGAAGAGGAGGAGGAGGAAGAGGAGGAGGAGGAAGAGGAGGAGGAAGAGGAAGAGGAAGAGGAAGAGGAGGAGGAGGAGGAGGAGGAGGAGGAAGAGGAAGAGGAAGAGGAGGAGGAGGAGGAGGAGGAAGAAGAAGAAGAGAAAATGGAGGAGAAGGAAGCCAAAAGGAAAATAGAGAAAGAGACCGAAGAAGCAGAAGGAAACAAGGAAGAAGAGGAAGAACAGTTAGAAGAGGCAAATAATAAAATAATGATGTGAACAAAAGTCATAGAAGTAAAAAAAATCTTTTAATAGTTAAAACATCACAAATATTTTCTTGGAGGGAGATCATAAATTCTGTTATTGCCAAAAAATATATATCTTCAAAACGTCTACATCGCTTAGCAAACTGGGGCATCAGAAGTCACCCTCGATCCCAATAAAAGACTTGTCATGTGTACAATTGATTCTCCATAAAATCTTTGGGATAAAAAGAGGAAAGTACTGAGTACTGGAACCTCCATCAGTCTCGGGGAAAATGCAAAAAATTACAGGTACAGGAAAAGTGTGGGCATGGAAGGAGGAGGCAAACTGCAAAAACTGTGCAAGAGATTGAGAAAAAAAAACACATTTAGACTGACAGAGGTATGGGTATGCGAGGGCTGCTTATGGTAAGGACTAAAATATACTTAGGACTGTATTTTAAAGTGGAGAATCAAATTTTTGTACAACATCACAACTCCCTTAGAAGCCTAGTCAAACTGGTTAAGTATAATATCACCTGTATCTTTCCAAAAGATTTTTTTTTTTTTTAACAAATAATAACAACTTTTCCATGCCTTACACTGTATATATATCCAGTATATATAAATATGTATATATGTTCATGTTCAACACTACCGATTCTAAAACCATAAAAAAAATTAATGTCAGAAAAATTAATACAAAACCTGGAGTCTTTGAATCATAATGCTTGTGGTATCACCTTTTCCTCTACCATAATAATAAAAATAAGAAAACATTAAGATAAATTACACAAAAAATATGATACACAATACTGAAGACAAAGAGGTCTCTGTACAAATTTTCTTGCTGAATACCATTTTGTTTTCTCTCTCTTTTTTTGTATTGGTAGGTTCTAATTAGCTCTGGCAGATAGTTGAGTCACGAGTGAAACAATACCCTTTGCTGCTGTCCTCCAATGGGGTAGCTAAGAATTATGAAACCTTTCTCAAGTTAAACTGATAACCCAGACTATACATATTAACAGAAGACTAACAAGAGATTACTTTTCTTGACAATTTAACAATATTACAATTTACATACTTTGTAAAACAATAAGTCTTTACAAGATTTAATTTATCTTAATAGAAAGCCACTATGGCAGAGAAACTAACACACACAAAAAATTTATTAGTCGATTTTTTGACACCTCAGGAAGATTCCAATTATGGACTTGGATTATCAGAAATTCAAATAAAAAAAGGAATTGTTGAGTGAAAATAAAATTATTCACACTTTTAACTGTCCATGTTTTTACATATATATCAAAAGTAACCCCTAACAATCTCTATTTTAACCTCTTTTAAGCTTTTCTATTTTTACATAAACTGATCATACAGTTATTTACAGTAAGCTTCAATTAAAACCAGTAGACTGTGGAATATAAACAAGTATATCGGCACATACAAAGATACAAGAGAAGTGGAATGGAGATTATGATGCTTCATGTTATGATTGTAAACCAATGGTAAAATTTATCACTGTTGTTCTTTTCTAACGAGGCTTGTACCCTTTGCTACTTAACCCTGATGCAAGGTCGCAGCATTCACAATTAGGAATCGTTTCATGTTTCTGTCCATCACAGGGCTCGCACTTCAGGATGACCAGAGGGATATAACATGCATCCGAAGCTCAGCTGGGTTTGCAAGCGAGCCTGATAAATTGTCCCACTCTATATACTATACGTGGGGAAATGCACACACACACAAGGATAATACTGTGGGAGGCATTACTTTTTGCCACATGGAATCTACACTGTATTGATCTGACAACAAAAATAAATATCTAGTTTTATGTGCAAAAATTACTATGTCCTGCTTTGGAATATATAACATTCAAAGCTCTGTAAAGTGATGAGGAAAAAGAGATATCTTAATATTTCCACTTCCATTTCTATAACAATCCGCGTCAAATACAGTGATCAACGCCATATTGGACAGATTGTCAAAAATATTTTTCTTCTTCAGACTGGCCAAGGAAGATCTTCTCAGAAGCATTCCATGCCAATGATAATAACTGGGATAGTGGGATGCCTTAATTACATGTATACACTATACACCTTTCCTTCTCCAAGCTGACAGCTATGAGGAAAGAAACAACCATGAGAGACAATATAAGATCAAAAATAAAATATCAGAGGGTGGAGAGTGAATGTCGGCAAGACGGAAGAAAGAAGAGTTAACACCATAGCTGCTGAAGTGATTGCTGCCCTCCATCTCAATGCATATGGTTGACCTTTATACAAGATGCATACTCCTGAGCCAAACAATCCTACTCTGGCTTAAGCTGCTTGAAGTATGTGCTCATTTTCCGAGATGCAAAGGGACAGCCTATAGTCAGTGGAAGCCTCGAGTCTGAGCCCCGTAGTCGGTCCCAGCCAAACCTCTTCCAATCAGAGCTAAATCAGTAACTGCCTCTAGAATCCTGCGCTTGCTGCCTCTGTTCCTGCAAAAGAAAATAACAGTGTCACACCACTACCTAAGGTGTTCTTGGCAATGTAATAATTACTCAAGGATATTAGACTCCTTAACCCAATGCCGAAGGGTATGATGTGTATGTACGTGCTATGCCCACCGTGAGTACTTGTTTGATTGTTTTTACGCATAGATGGCAACACTTGTACTAAATCACAAATGAGCCAGTTACGAGCACCGCCCGTCTCGCCCGTTTACCCTTTTCTTTGATTTACAAAATATTTTACGTTATCTTATTTTGCGGTTACTAATGTTAAAAAACATTATAAAAATTATCATGTTTATGATAAAAATAACACCATCGATTTTCATAGCACTAGTTAAAAATATGTTTTTCCCGCCATTTCAAATCAGGCACTAGCAGAACCATCTATCGGCAGACATTTCACGTAAAGCATAGAAAATAGGCACAGCATTTTCCTAATTTTTTGTTCATTTTCCCCGGCGGCATTGGGGTAATTATCTCTAAAAGTCACATTGTTCCAAAGTACAGATATGCAATTACACACGTTAAAAAAGAAGTAACAGGAGTACCAACAGCAAAGTCAACAAAGATATGTTTTGAATATACTGAATCAGGATTTTTTTATGCCATCATTATTGATGCTTTATTATCATTAGCCCCTTGGTTCTAGGTGCATTTATGCCTGCACAAGGTCTAAAACCCAGGTATTGGGCTTTCTTGGGAAGCTAATATTTACAGTTTGTAGGCTGGGTGTACATGAACATGTGTAGTGACAAAACTCCATTTTCAATGTTATCTTCTCTTTTTCTGCATTGGCATAATTTAACATTTTTGCTATCTTCCAATATCTATATTTGTCATTTGTTATGCCATATCCAGATGCGAATAGATTGTTTTTCTTGCACAGACTCCATATCACCTCTCTAGGTAGTCCATAACTCAATGCAATAATAATAAAAATAAATTACATTTTGTTATTTCATTTTTATGTAATATACAATTTCTGTAATTCAACCTGCACTGCTGGTCACAGCAGGCAGGAATAGGATCCAGAGCACACCTAACAGATGATAAATTCCACACTCATTTATCAATGGAAATAATGCAAGAGCCCCTTACTAAATACCCACTGAGTCTAATCCCCTTCCAAAAGCTTTGTGCACTTCTGGGGAGTCATGCCTGTTACCCCAGCCTTCAGCTAAATTCTCATGATGGC